AAACTTCATTTTTAGATATGAAAAGTTGATTCTAGCGTAGTTCGATAGAGAACATTAACTTGTGTAAGGGGAAATATTTTTCATCGTTCCCGAATGAAGTTCAACGCAGAAATTTTGTTTTTTGGTTATGATATATAATTCGTGATAACTGATGATTATGCCACAATTAAACATTGATAATATTATTCCATAGGATGTTTTTCGACTGGAATAACGATCTTCCCTGGCTATATTACAATCAACATCTTGATAATCATTATCACATAATTTTTCTTGGTCATCTCGTTCATTAGAGAAATCGGTAACACGACAGTTGCTCCCCGGACACTTGCTCCCCTGGCAGTTGCTTCCCTGACAGTGGCTCCCGAACGACTCTTGCTCCCCAAAGACACTTGCTCCCCTGACAATTGCTCCCTTGCGACAGTTGCTTCCCCGATCGTTGCTTCCGCGACATTTGCTGCCCAGTAGGGGTATGACAGTTCCATATCAGCTCCTATCATAGGAACTGTTGAAACGTTCTTTTGAAAGGAGCTGATATGTTCGAACAGCTCTTTTGTCCAGCGTAACGGTCCAGCGTAACGGACTTACAAAAACAGAAGTGAATTTTGAAGTCTCCGAGAAAGGCGAAAAGTTCAGTGATTGTCCACACTCACGATGGGATTATATGCAATGAGATATGTAATCTTACAGTTCTCCAGTTCTCAACATAAGTATATGTAATGAGATATGTATTCTTACAGTTCTCCAATTCTCACAGTTCTCCAGTTCTCAATAATAGTATATGTAATGAGATATGTATTCTTACAGTTCTCCAGTTCTCAGTAGTAGTATATGTAATGAGATATACTAAGGATAGATCTCTATGTTTATCACAATATGTCGTAGTTTTCCAATATCCGGGATTAAGTGGATCACGGACCATTTCTGGTCGTATTCCACATTCAACATTTCCTAGAAGCGAAACGTGACGTGGTAAAATAACTAAAAACATTGTGCTTATTATCCATTGAAGGAAACAGTATAATGATCATTTGTGAGTATTTTGATACAAGTGCGGGAGAAACTTGCAGTGTGCAGTAAGCAATGGTCATAACTTAAATGCATCTTTTCGTGAGACAATCTCTGAGTATCTTGAAAATGGCTGAAACATAGATTATCAACAACACTGAATCTCGTAACAATGCTTATTCTTGAAAAAAGACTCAAAATCTATGTCTATTTTTAAGTATTTGGACTACTAAAAAAATGACCTATATTTCGTCAGTTTGGCGCGAATCAGAAAATTCGTAGTTCACTTAAGATCAATACAATTTACTATAAAATTACAAGAAACATATTGTTCTACTCTATCTTCAGTTCGCCCTGGAGTTCCACATAAGCTTGCAAAATCAATCGAAAGTACTTTGATCTTTGAAGGTTTTCTTACTCTTTGGACATCAAAGAATGCGTTTACTTAACCCTGGCTACAACATGACGTTTAACTGCAACTGCCACGAGGTTGAGTGTCGTTGATAACCTATGTTTTAGCCATTTTTAAGATACTCAGAGATTGTCTCGCGCCAGTCTTAAGGCTCCTAGAAATCCGATGATGCACCTAAGCTATGGATAAAGAGCCGGGATGATTGTCACTTTTCAGAAGACACGTGTGGCTATCTACTCATGTGAGAAACTAATATACTACTATTCAAAGTTTTGAAAATAACAGGTTTTTCAAAAATCCTCCAAAACCCTTATGTTGAAAAAAACTTTGAAGCGTATTGTCTTACGAAAAGATGCATTTATGTTTTGACCATCGCTTACTGCACACTGCAAGTTTCTGCCGCAATTTTATCAAAATATTCAGAAATGATCATTATACTGTTTACGGGTTTTGCACTACCCTCGAGTTTCTTCGATTTTTCGACCGGAAGAAATGCTCCAAAAAGTTTGCGGAGCACATATCTGTGATGCCGTCAATTCTCTATCGAATGGTGTATAAATAAAAGAAAAAGAAATTTCACTACACGTCTGCTTTGGTGCATCTTACGTCTGTACATCCTTGTTGATTTCTAGTTCAAAGTCTAAGAATCCAATCTCTTCCACCATATCCTCGTCTAGTCTCATACTTGAATCCTATAATATGAGTTAGAAAATTAAAAATATAGAAACCTAGTTCATCAGATGTTATTGTTTCGTCTGTAAATGAGCATATAAATCGGTCAGGTTTTGCACATCCATCTAAAACTATTGCACAAGAGCAATTAGGACCACATTTATATAAATATTTGTGCCCCGTCCGAAATAAAGTGAATTCTGTTTCCCATTGTAAATAATTTTTGTTAAAATATTCATTTCGTTCATCAGTGTTACTAATATTGAGTGGAATCTGAATTTCATATTGCTTCGATACAAAAAAAATAAACAAAGCGGTGGCATAAGTCAACCATGTATTTTGAAACAAACGTCGTTCCAATAATATTTGATTTCTTAATATTGAGTCATCATTATTATTTCGCTGTAATAATATTGAGCGTACTGTATGATTGTAAGACGCACAGAAATTATCAAAACTAGCGTGCATATACGTCAAATCTGACGCGAATCTTAAAATTAATTCAATTGCGTACGCATTCTTTCCACCCAAATAAATATATTTACTACTGAGTTCAACGCATCACGAGTAATAAATTGTTTAGATCCTCGAACATAACCATTGGAATAGTAGTCGACGTGACAACACCGTGCAGAATATGTACAACCATTTTCAACAGTCTCAATCTTAAATACATATACGTGCTCTTTAAACTTTAATTCCAATGGTTGCTGACATGTTAAACAAATATCGGTAAATGGCTTAATTGTATGTAATGATGTATGTGTAGAAAAATATGGGTTTTTTGAATAATTGTTTATTAAATCTCCTATACTTTCAGATGGAAATAATTCGACTTGACCGTGAAGTTTGTGACGTTTTAATAAATTTATCATTGCTTCAATCTGATCCGATTTATACTCAACATGATAAAGTAATTGAATAATATTTGATATATCTTGAAATTTGGTTTTTATGCAATTATCTAATCGCTGATCAATATTAAACATTAAATTCAAATGCTCAAGTGGAATATTTCTGTCTAATGATACAATATATGCTTCTTTTTCATTCATACTCATGTTGGATTGATTAACAAACATCTGGAAGTAAGAAGACTAATGAAAAATATCGTTTTAAAGTGTACATGATTATACAAAACAAACAGTAGTTGTCATGGTCGCAGTATTGTTCCATATACGTATATTAGCAGGCTCATCATATACTCTCAGTATTGGCCTGTTTCTCTAACACCAAATCAGTTCTGCAATTTCATGTTCTAGTCTGAAAATATTATACATTGACCACAAAACCTGCGAATATCACTGACAAAAGCGTTCTGTTCAGCTTTATATACCAAGGAATCTTTAGGATGGGTTTTAAAACCCGGATCTGATTATAACACGTATTTTTCCTTCTTTTAGAATAGAATCTTCTTCCAAAAATGTCTGACATTCTCCGTTTTCTCTTTCTTAGAAAGTTTCAATCGAAGACTAGGATATCGATCATTTTCTTTTTGCTTTAACAGTAATAGATCAAACGAATTTGTAATACGAAATATACAAACCGGTAATAAAACATGATTAAAAGGGTTTTATTCTTTCCTATCGAAATAGGCGTTTAACGTAACTAAACTACTTTTTCCGAACCTCGTCATGTCACACACTCCAATTTTCGGAATTAATTTCCTTGACAGGCAAAGCAACAATGCCAATAACAAGTTTTCCAATTTCGAAAATCTGACTACCAAGAATTTTTCTCCTGGTTATTGGTATACTTTTCATCGTTTTACAAGCTAACATATACTATTGTCAACTTAGTTTCCAGTAGCGATTCGAGATCTGTATCTCATGTGCAGCAGTATCGCAGTGGGCTTTCACTTTTTAATGTTGTTTTCTTCACTCACTCTCACTACCTACCCACCCCTGCCGCTGCTAAGTAGCATTCGAAGCAGCGCACTGCAAAAGGCATTGTGTCCTCTGACGACACATTTTTTTATACCTGGAATGGACACATTTTGCTCAATGGCGAATGTATTCATGTGTCGCCGTTTATGACAGCAAGTATGTGCTGAATGGCGATACACTTAGTATGCCGCTATTTGGGACACATTTTCCTTGCAGTACGGATATTTTTAAGTTGCTATGTTCGAACTTCGAGTTCGAATTTAAGTTTTGACGAAAAGAAAATTCAGAATACAACGGATCTTAAAGATAAAAATGCAATATTTTCCGCTTGCACTTGGAAAGAATAAAGCTTAAAACTAGGCGTGTTAATTTAGTTTTATTGTTCATTTATAATAATGGATAAAAGTAAATAAATCATTTATACTTAAAAAATAAAGATAAATTCGTCCTTTATAGTTAAAAAATAAATATAAATAAATCAAAAAAAAATTTATCTTTATTTTATAAAAATAAATGATCCATTTATCTTTATTTTATAAAAGTAAATGATTTATTTATATTTATTTATTTATTTCTACTTTACTTTTAAAAATAAAGGTATAAATAAATAAATAAATATAAATGAATCATTTATTTTTATAAAATAAAGATAAATTTTTTTTTGATTTATTTATATTTATTTTTTAAATATAAATGATTCATTTACTTTTATTTTCCAAAGTAACACTAAATTAACACCCCTACTTAAAACAACTATCCCGAATTTTGTAACATCTAGGCATGCAACGGTTATTCTCGGAAAATATTGAAAATATTTTTTCGAAAGAAGAAAAACCTCACGGGGGGACGGGATCCTCCACCCCTAATGGTATGCGCTGGACTTTGTATGAGAAGAGGCAAAATGAGACCGATAAAATGCCATATGGTTTCGTTTCTATGATTTTTCTATGTCTGTATGCTACTAAAATTTTAATATAGAGTTGTTTTTAATGAATAACAAAACAAAGAAAATCGATCTGTAGCAGCAGCTCAGAATAACATAATTATAAAAGCAATAATATGCATAAAAATTAAGCTATATTTCAAATATGAAAAGGAAATAAAAGAATTTTTGTCAGGAAAAAGCATGAAGCTTTAAACCATGAAAGACAAAAACCGAACACTTTGGTAAAAAACCAAATAGTTAATGTAGGTATTTACCTATTATATACACGAAGACAAAGAAACAAAAGGAAAAAATAAATGCCTTCGAATCTGCGCCGACAACGAATTGAAAAAACCAAATAAATAGAACTCTATAAATCCAGACTAGCGTAAAGGACTCACACAAAAACAGAGTAAATACATATGATAAAATCAATAACCTAGCTGTACATTGCTCATAAATACTGTTATTTTTCTAATACTTGTTTTGACCTAAATATTTGTAACACACATGGATATAGGTATATGAGTTCCAATGTGAAAAATTGAGCATGAGAGAGAAAGAACCAAATACAGCGCAAAAATAGAAAACTAAGTGGGAAAAAACGACTACAAAAATAAGACAGAAAAACTGCCTTAGT